CCAGACTCAAGTGATCCTTTTACCTCAGTCTCCCGAGTGGCTGGTACTACAGTTGCATACCACCATACCTGGCTAATGAAAAAAATTTTTTTTTTGTAAGGACAGGTCTCACTATATTGCCTAGTCTGGTCTCAAACTCCTGGACTCAAGCAATACTCTCGATTCAGCCTCCCAAAGTGTTGGGATTACAGGTGTGAGCCACCACAGATGGCCTTTATCTCTAACTTATCTAGCCACTTCTTGATTTCTCTTGAGTATAATCCCCTGATTCCCCACTATGGAAGATAAAGATTTAGTTGTATTGACCACTACCACCTGCTCCCTCCTCTCCTCCTCAGGCAAACACGTAGTTCCCATGCCCCATCTTCTCAACAGGTATAGTGTGATTCTGATTAGATTAATATTCAATAGGCTTACATTATAATGTCTATGTAAATGTTAATCCCAGCTCAGTTATAAGGTTTATCATAACCTTTCTTTCTTTTCCTACACATACTTTGTTTTTCTTTGGGGTTACCAATTGTCCTTTTTTGGGGTTAGTTTAGCTTTTATAAAGTTATCACCCAAACTCATGCCTAGTTGCATACATCTCTCAATTTGTTAAAGTATATTAGTCATTCTTCCAATTTTATCTTTTTGAATAAATCTTTCTGGAAACTTCCAACTTGCTCCAATCTGGGCTTGCTACTACTTTCTGGGTCTGCTATTTAGCAGTGCTATAGTCTTTGGATCTCCATACATTATCATTCCGGGGATCTTTTTGTTTTGCTTTGGATCCTCTATTTCCTAGTTCTTAGGTATTCCTCCTCCTTAGTTTATGTCCTCATTTTTGTACAGCATATCCTACAGTGGATTCCCAGGGTACATGAGAATCATTTTTTTGAATCTTTAATGTCTAAACATGGCTTTATTTTACACTCAAAATTAACTACTAGTTTACCCAGATGTTGAATCTAGGTTAGAAGTAATTTTTTCTCAGAACTTTTTTTTTTTTTTTGAGATGGATTCTTGCTCTGTCACCCAGGGTGGAGTGCAGTGGCGTGATCTCGGCTCACGGCAACTTCCACCTACCGGGTTCAAGTGATTCTCCTGCCTCAGCCTCCCGAGTAGCTGGGACTATAGGCGCCCACCACCATGCCTGGCTAATTTTTGTATTTTTAGTAGCGATGGGGTTTCACCATGTTGGTCAGGCTGGTCTCGAACTCCTGACTTCAGGTGATCCACCTGCTTCGGCCTCCCAAAATGCTGGAATTACAAGCGTGAGTCACCACGCTCGGCCATTTCTCAGAACTTTCAAAGTATCGCTCCATTGTCTTGCTTTTGGTGTTGCTACTGAGAAGTCTGTAGCTATTTTAATTCCTCATTCTTTGTTAGAATCTTTCTTTTCCAACTCTATGAGTCAGTAAGATTCTTTTGTTTGCAGATTTCTGAACTTTTTCAGTAATACATCTGACTGTAGGTTTGTTTTTTCTTGAGTGGGTCAGTCTATGGACTTTTCCTATCTTAAGACTCAGTTATTTTATTAATGGAAAAATTTCTCAAATTGTATTTTTGATATTTCCTTCCTTTAATTTTCTCGGTTCACTCTGAAACTCCTATTTTTAAAAATTTCTGGGCCAGTTCTCTCATTTTCTTATGTTTTTCTCTCTTCTATTTATTTTATATTCTATTTTCAGGGGAGATTTCCTCAACTTTATCTTCCAACTCTTCCACTGAGTTTTACATTTTAGAAAAATGTATACATTAGAAAAGGTATTACATTAGAAAAATATAACATTTAGAGAACAAAAAAATGTATTAAAATATGATATTTGTTTTCTTGTTCTGCATAGCCTGTTTCCTCCCAGTTGCTTTTTTCTGTTTTTGTCTTTCATTATCAAATCCTCTCTTCAAGTGTCTGGTGATCCTTAGCTGTCTTGTCCATATAAAATAGTATAAACTAAAAAGCTAAGAGGAAGTTCTGTTTGGATGGAGCTCGTTAATGGTGGGGTCCACTATAAAGTAACTGGGTATTTCCTTGGAGCACCCCTGCGGTAAGTAGATTTATAGCTGTGTATGTGTGTGTGTGTCTTTTGCCTAGAGAAAACCCTTCCAAATCTCTTGCCTGAAGGCTATCCATACTGGTACTCTGGAAAGCAAGTTGGGGAGGCCTGGGGTCTCAAATTTAGCATTTAAGTGTTCACTACCCCTTTTCCAGTAGGGTGGTTCACACCGGAATGTGCCTGATCTCTCAGACCACACACATTCTGTTGTACACTTTTCAGAGAATTACATTTTCAGTCTTTTGCTGATATAAGGAAGGAAATCTAATTCCTCTTTCAGAAGCTTCTGACCAGTTGTCTTGTCTTCAGTTCTACCTTCATCTTCACCTGTAGCTCCTGAGCTTCTAGAGAATTTTACAATGTAAGTCAAGCTGCTTCTTTGTTTTTGACCTACCATTGACTTAAGGTTCAGCTTTCTTAGGCTGCTTAGTTGTCAATTTTCATCTGTTTTCCAAGTAACAATATTTTATTGCTACTGTTTTCTCTTTTGTTTTCTTATTTTTTGAGGGTTTATCTTTAACTGCCCTTGTCCTTGCACTGGAATTTTAGGAGGGAACAGAGCTAAATGCTTGCACTAAAGGTGCCATGTTTAAACTAAAGTTCCTCTCTGCTCTTTTATATACTACAGAATCACAGTTCCTACATATTGAAGGGATCCCTAAGAGGGCAGGTAGTTAAACTCTTTCCGTCAGAGAGCAAAAATGTTTAATTTGCAGATAAGGTGGTTAAAACTCCAGAAACTGAGTGTCTCGCACCAAGAAATACAAAGTCACACAGATAGAGAACGTAATATTCTATGTACCTTAAATAATTATCTCTCAAAGGTTTAATTGTTTGTCTGTTTTTCTAATTTAGGATAATTTCAGTTATAGCTAGATCCTTTTCTGTATTACCTTGGCATCCTCTTCCACAGGGCAGATGAGTTCTTATTAAGATATTAGGTGTTAAACTACAGTCATGTGACACGTAATGATGTTTTGATCAACAACAGACCACATATATGATGGTGGTCCCATAAGACTATAATGGAGCTAACAAATTCTATTGTCTAGTGACATCATAGCTTTCATAATGTCATAGTGCAATGGATTCAGTGTTTGTGGTGATGCCAGCCTACTGTGCTGCCAGTCATATGTAAGTATGGCACATACAATTATGTACAGTGAATAATAATAATCGATTGTGTTACTGGTTTATATATTTACTATACTATACTTTTTATCATTATTTTATAATGTACTTCTAGTTACACATATTAAAAAAAGAGTTAACTTTAAAACAGCGTCACGCAGGTCCTTCAGGATGTATTCCAGAAGAAGGCATTGTTAACACAGGAGATGACAGCTCCATGAGTGTCACTGCCCCCCAAAGACCCTCCAGGGGGACAAAACTTGGAGGTGGAAACAATGATACTGATGATCCTGACCCTGGTTAGGCCTAGCCTAATGTGCGTGTCTCCATTTTTAACAAAAAAGCTTAAAAAGTAAAATAAAAAAATTCAAAAATAGAAAAAGATCACAGAATAAAGATGTAAGAAAAAGAATTTTTGTACAGCTAAAAAATGTGTTTGTTTTGAGCTAAGTGTTATTACAAAAGAAACAAAAATTAAAAAAAAAAAGTTCATAAAGTAAAAGTTATAGTAAGGTAAGATTAATTTATTTTGAAGAAAGAACTATTGTTTAAATAAATTTAGTGTAGCCTAAGTGTACAGTGCTTATAAAGTCTACAGTAGTGCACAATAATCCTAGGCCTTCACATTCACTCACTGCTCACTCATTCCTTCGCCCAGAGCCACTTCCAAGCTCCATTCATAAGAAGTGCCCTAGACAGGTGTACCATTTTTTTTTTCTGTATACCTTACAATTTTCTGTACCTTTTATATGTTTAGATGCAAAAATACTTACCATTGTTATAATTGCCTACAGTATTCAGTACAGTGCCATGCTTATATAGGTTTGTATCCTAGGAGTAACAGACTATACCATACAGCTTAGGTGTGTAGTAGGTGGTACCATTTCGTTGTGTAAGTACACTCTACGATGTTTGCACTATGATGAAATTGCCTAACAACACACTCCTCTGAATGTATCACTGTTTTTAAGCTATGCATGGCTGTTATAAAATGTGGTTAAATGTGAAGTTGGCTTATAATAATTTCAGACACAACCAAGTTTTTAAAGCAGTGGATATGCCTTAGCTATATCCTTTCGAGAAATGTATATAAAGAATTTTACAGGCTGGACACAGTGGCTCATGTCTGTAATCCCAGCACTTTGGAAGGCTCAGATCACTTGAACCTAAGAGTTCCAGAGCAGCCTGGCCAATATGGCAAAACCCCGTCTCTAATAAAAATACACAAATTAGCCAGGCATAGTGGCACACACCTGTAATCCCAGCTTCTTAGGAGGCTGAGGCATGAGAATCACTTAAACCCAGGAGGTGGAGGCTGCAGTGAGCCAAGATTGAGACTCTGTCTCAAAAAGAAAAAAAAAAGAAAAAGAAAAAAAGAAGAATTTTACAGAGTATCAAAATATAATTTAAATGTAGTTTGTATAGCTTTTTATATGGTAAATCAATTATTTTTAATTTTCAAGAAATATCTTAAATGGAAAAAACAGCTTGATTTGTTCCAACTTCCATCATTTATTTGTTAAATTTTATAAGAAAACACAGGCTTTGAAGAAAAGGTGTTTGTAGAGAAAAAAAAGGAGTGGGATTTGGGAAAGATTCAACTTATTTTAAAATGATGCTACTTTCTTTTATTTCCAGTGTGATACAGGCTACAGCCTTAAAATATTACTAAAGTATAATAATAAAATACTTTTGATAAGATAATTCCTTTTAGTCCATAAAAGTTTTAAGAGCTTTATGAAACTGGGCACTAACAGAGCTTTCATAAATGCAGCACTCTATGGAGGAAAATGAAGAATGAAGAGAAAATTGTCCTTAAATACTTACAGATTCTTTTCTGCCCATAGTTTTGCTGTGTGAGCGGGAACGTGAGATGTTGCTAAAAAAGGAATCTTTTTTAGTAGCAGATGAAGGTGGGGAGCCAGTGAATTCTCTTCCTCCAGGCAAACTCTCAATACTTGGAGATGAACTGATGTTTTTAGAACTTTGCCCTGTAAGAAAAATTAAGTAGCAATAATGAAACACCACTCTTTCACTAAGCTACTTAATCTACTGTTTTTAAGAAATGATGATCAATTATGATACCACTAGGTTGATACTATCAACATAATGACACTATGGAGTATTAAAATGCATGCATTTGTATGTATCAGAATAGCCACCAGTTTTTTAAAAAACAGTGAAGTATCTACCACCATAGTTTTCTATGTTTTTTATACTACAATTATCCAAGCATTGCACATATATAAAAGAACTAAAAAAAAAAAGGGGGGGGCACCCAAGATGGCCGAATAGGAACAGCTCCAGTCCCCAGTTCCCAGCGTGAGCAACACAGAAGACGGGTGATTTCTGCATTTTCAACTGAGGTGCAGACTGACACCTCACACCTCACACGACTGGGTGCACCTCTGAGACGAAGCTTCCAGAGCAAGAATCAGACAGCAACACCCACTGTTCAACAATATTCTATCTTCTGCAGCCTCTGCTGCTGACACCCAGGCACACTCGCTGTTCAGCAATATTCTATCTTCTGCAGCCTCTGCTGCTGACACCCAGGCAAACAGGGTCTGGAGTGGACCTCAAGCAAACTCCAACAGACCTGCAGCTGAGGAGCCTGATTGTCAGGAGGAAAACTAACAAACAGAAAGGACACCCACACCAAAACCCCATGAGTACGTCACCATCATCAAAAACCAAAGGCAGATAAAACGACAAAGATGGGGAAAAAGCAGTGCAGAAAAGCTGGAAATTCAAAAAATCAGAGCGCATCTACCCCTCCAAAGGAACGCAGTTCATCGCCAGCAATGGAACAAAGCTGGACAGAAAATGACTTTGACGAGTTGAGAGAAGAAAGCTTCAGTCGGTCAAAATTCTCAGAGCTAAAGGAGGAACTACATACCCAGCGCAAAGAAACTAAAAACCTTGAAAAACGAATGGATGAATGGATAACAAGAATAATCAATGCAGAGAAGACCATAAAAGAACAGATAGAGATGAAAACCATGACACGAGAACTACGTGACAAATGCACAAGCTTCAGTAACCGAATCGATCAACTGGAAGAAAGAGTATCAGTGACTGAAGATCAAATGAATGAAATGAAGCGAGAAGAGAAGTGTAGAGAAAAAAGAGTAAAAAGAAATGAACAAAGCCTCCAAGAAATATGTGATTATGTGAAAAGACCAAATCTACATCTGATTGGTGTGCCTGAAAATGACGGAGAAAATGGAACCAAGTTGGAAAACACTCTGCAAGATATCATCCAGGAGAACAACGTCCCCAACATAGTAAGGTAGGCCAACATTCAAATTCAGGAAATACAGAGAATGCCACAAAGATACTCCTCGAGAAGAGCAACTCCAAGACACATAATTGTCAGATTCACCAAAGTTGAAATGAAGGAAAAAATCTTAAGGGCAGCCA